TCGGGGCTCAAACTCAAGAACCGTGAGATCATGAGCTGAGCTGAGCTGAAGAGTCAGATGCTCAACTGACTGAGCCACATAGGTGCCCCCTGAAAGTATAATTCTTAAGAATATCTGCTTTGAATCTTAAAAATAAATAAGTTAGACTTGGTGAATTACAGTAGGAAAGAATTCCCAGGAGGGTCACTTTAAATGATTGCCTTTCATGCTTAAGATTAGATTTCATCTAAAGATTTCACTTAGTTCAACTCCTAGAAAACCCCAGATCCTGGGTCTAAGAGTAAACTGAGGCTTGGTGAGGTTAAGCGACTTGCCCGGGTATTGTATGTCAGGATTCTTTTGGGCACAAATTATAGAAATTCAACTCCAGAGTAGCTTAAACAAAAAAGGAAATTTATTGGCTCATATCATTGAAACTACCTTTGAACAGAGCTGAATCCAACAGCTCCAATTGTGTTGTTAAAACTTGGTATTTGGCAAAGTTTCTTCCACAGTATTGGATTCCTCCAAGATGGAGGAGGAGGAGATGGGAGCACATAGGTCCAATTTACATCACTTCTATGGTTTATGTTCCAAGAGGAAAAAAGGTATCCCTCTCCCGGCATTCACACAGCAAAATCTTGGGGAAGATCCAGTTGATTTCCTTGCGTCTTGTACCTGTCTCTCTGTGGGGAGGAGAGAAGCAACAGGCTTACCCGTCCACCAGGATCACATGAAGTGAAGAGTGTGGTCCTCCAAGAAAAAGAAAGGCATGGGCAGGAAGCAGACACCTACCACATCAAGTCTAGGCCATTACTAAAGGCAAGGCTAGCACAGGACCCAGGACCATAGTCCTAGTGCAAGAGAAGAAGAGAAATGCATAAGTTGAGAGCAAAACTAGAGCCTTTTTGAAAGGAATACCAATTAGAAATGAAGATAAAGCTCTGAAATGATGTGAACTCAAATGACCATTTTTTCACTTTTAGAAGTATATGGATATTGTAAGATGCAAATTTTTGTTATTGCTAACGAATGTTCCCTCACGCATTCTATAGTTTCCAAAGACAGCGGACTGAAAGGCATACCTCGTTTCCTTGGTTTTTGTTTTCGTCTGTCACAATGGGGTCAGCCAGAAGAAAATTTCGAGGAAAAAAAAGACTTTCTTAAAGTTTCTAGATGGATAAAAAGTATTAAAACACAAAGAAAGTGGGTGATTATGGTCACAACTAGTATTTATTGAGCAGCTAACATGTGCCGGACTCATGTAACGTAGTAAATGTGTAACGTATATAAATGTGATGACTGCCCTGTGGGTTAGGAGGTGTCAGTCTGTCCATTTCCAGTCCAGGAAACTGAGGCAGTGACAAGAAATCGTTTGCCCCAGCTCCTGACTGAGCTGGGTTCCACTTCAGGTACATCTGACTGCAGTCTGTGTTGTCAGCATTAGGCTTACAATTAGTTATAGCTTTAATTCAGTTAATTGTGTAATTTAACTATTTTAAAAGGAAATTTATTGCTTGTGGTATGTTATTTTGTTTTATCCTGTGTGAAACAAAGTACACTGGAAGCTGGCTATCAGTTCCCCATCAGTGACATGGGGCCCCTCTTCCTGTCCTGATCCATCAGTGACCTAGGGCCTCTCACTGCTAGGTAGGGAACTGGAGCACCTAAACGTTTTAAATCTCAGGCAATAATTATACACATTAGTCCCAGGGAAAGTCATGAATAACCTACAACCTTGAGGCTCATCTGAGAATCTAACTGTGCTATTTGAATTGTGACCCAAGAAAATGGCACTGCTGAGGGGGCTTCCAGTGTAGATAAATGTGGTTCAAAGAAGTGTTACGGCAGAGTCCTCTGTCTACACTAGCTATGTGTGTACTAATTTCCTTATTTTTCTTAAGAGAATAGCTCTTGCCACAGGCTTTTTCACTGTTTTTCCCTCAGCCCAAACCCAGCTTCACACACACACACACACACACACTTTGCGGCTAGTCAAGTCCTATGGTGACATCCTATTTGTACAGGTCTTTTCCTCACCTACTGGTTGATAATTGGTTTGATGATACTTCTGCTTATTATCTTACCCTTCTTTAGTTCACCAGTCAGCCACCATTTGATAGTCTATGCCTTCTAGCAGATTCATGATAAGCTCAGTCTTGGTATCTGGGAAGTGAATGCTTTCATCTGATAGCAATAAACAGTGTTTTGTCAGTTGATAATGGCTTCCCAGATGACTGTAATGTATTTCTTTTTGTATTATCTAGAGTAACAAGTCTCCAAACTCTTTTGACCATTCATTCCCATCAGTATAGTTTTTGGAAGTTCTTAACCAAATATATGCATATTTATTTATAAGGTATAATTTCATTTATAACTTGTCACAATATACACTTAGGGTGAAATTCATTGTTAATGACGGTGGGTATAAACCCTCATTCACATAATCTCCTTGATCAATTTAATAATTTTTTAAAAGCCGAAATTTGGTTAGATTGACAAATCTGTCAAAGATTTGTCACTAGAAATGGCAGTTCTACCATTTGCTTGCTTTCCTGTGGTTTCTTAGCAAAGGAGTCTTCTGAAGTTGTCTATGTTCTACAGGTTTAATTAAACCTAGATAATATCGTCCGTAAATCCACTCAGTCGGAATCTAGCGAATTACAAGAAGTCACTATATGTTGATAGGGACTGACTGCGTGGGACCACCACTGCCCACCCCTGGAAATGGGCAACTTCCACTTTGCTCTGAGGAAATCTCCTATGCTGTTCTTATCCAACAGAGGATTCTGTGGTCAGAGTGCAGGCTCCCTTATCCTGTACATAAAATATTAATTGATCTTAGTGACTTTATTTTTCAATTAGAATTAAGCATAAGCAGATGTCCTCATATTTTATTCTTCTGCATTCCAAATGGATTGCCTCGCCCTATTCCTGAAATATATACATCCCTGGCTTATGTGGACCTCCTTTAGGAAATGTCCAAGGAACAATTTCTCACATAGGCAAGGATGTTCCCATTTTAAAAGACCTGCTCATTTCAGTTACCCAGCCATTTTATAGAAAATGAGTTTTGAGATGAATTCTTTATAGGGATCCATAATTTTCAAGCTAAATCCCCACTCTACAAAATGTGAAATGTTCTAAGCAGCAGCTGTGAGTGTTTCAAACGTGCACTACTCTTTGACGGTCCAACTGTTGCCAAGGGAAATGGAGTTGGCTTTAAAATCTTCCTTGGTTTTAATTCTGCATTTCCCCCAGAGAGCAAATGGCTCCACATGGCTGGGACACTGAACTTTTCATGAAGACTGGCATGTGAAACTGAGATGTAGAAATGCAGTGTCTTAGGGCAGGAAGGAGAATGGTATTCTAGTCGGTTTTTATAAAGCCTAGTGATGAACTTTTAAGAGCAAAATGCAGGCACTAAACAGCGGCAAATCATCTGGAGTGGGTAGGGGGAACCGCTTCTACCTAAGAGAACCATCTTTCCCTGTTTCCCATTTCACTTCAAAACCAGATTTTTTTTTTAAATCTTTCATGGCACAAACATTTCTTTTCCACTCAAGATCCATTGCTGGGAGTGCGAATAAAAATTTGCAACACCTGAGTGTTAACACAAACAAGAAATGCAATGCATTTTTGGGGGGAGGGTTACTTGTACATATGGTACATAGTTTTATTTCCTAACTGTATGGAAAACATGATCAAATGCTGAGGGGGAAAAACTAGGCTACAGAGCAACACATACAAAATTAAAAGAGAAAAAATACTGGAGGGAAGTACACCAAAATGCTAACCGGGGTTAAGTCCCCCCCCCTCCAAGTTTTTAACAATTGGTGATCTGATTTTTGTAGTTAAGCATCAAGAATTTCTTTCTTCCTCCCCTCCAACTGCCCCCCCCCCCCCCCAAAAAAAAAAGATGTACGCAGCGTGCAGTCAGAGCGACAGTCCCAATAACATTCTCTGGAACTGCAGCACTTGGGTTTGAGCTTCCCAAAATGCAAACCCATCTCTAAATATTTTATTGCTTGATGTAGCTAGAGGTGAGTGAAGTCTTCTCCATAAACTCTTCTGGATCCAACTTGCCAATTCAAATCTCGCAAGCTCGTAGAGTCTGGAACTGGGTTGCTCTGAGCTCTGTGCAGTGGGAGGGCCCATGCAGGTGATCCGGATAAATAAATGATTGCAGAGCACAGAGAACGCGTTCCCACCTGCCTAAGCTACACTGAGCTGGCCTCTATCAAGGCTTGCAGGAGGTTCAGGGCGCTGAGATTCAAAACAGAGGTTTAGGGGAAAGGAGACGAGGTGAGACAGAATTCGAGGCAATACCCAGCCCTTGGCCCAGGCCCAGAGGTTCAGATTTCGGTGCCAGGGCCCCCGCAAGGTTCAGCAGGGAGCGAGTGCTGAGGGTTTCACAGAGGGCTGCCTGCAAGGGGCCCATTTACACCAATAGTGGCTCACAGGAGCGGGCGGGAGATCTTATTTCTTTCTCCGTTTATTTCGGCGCCGGGTCCTGTCCTGAGAGGGACTCCTCAAGCCCACGCTAGCCGCGGAAGGGCGCAGGCTCAGGGCCCAAGGGCTCCCCCACCCGTAGCCGACCCTTGCCCTTGGAATCCTCTGCTGGAAGACGACCGCCACCCAGAGAAGCCGCATTGCGTGGAAACCCACCCAACCCATTGATCTATCAGTCGCACACCTCCCGGGCGTCAGGATCTCCTCACAGGCCTAGCGGCTGCTGGACTCCCCTACTTCACCCTACTCCACCGCCTAGCGGAAGCCGCAGCGGCGCGGCCGGAGATCGCGGCTGCATCCGGGTCTTTCTCGCCGCAGCCCAATCCTCGGCCTCGTCTCTTCCCACCCCCCTGTTTCTCCGCCCCCCCGCCGCCAATCCCTGATCTGCTCTCAGTCGAACATGCTGGCCTGGGAGTGAAGGCGGAGGCAGGCCAATGAGGACTCGCTTCCCGTTTAAAGCCTCCAGTGAGCGGGCGCCGGAGGCGGGCGCTGCTGGCCAGAAGGTTCGGTTGCGCGTGTGCCATGGACTCAGCCGCCCGGTGATATTGACAATAGGAGAGAGAAAGGGGCATTGACGGGGACCCACCGCGGGTACCAAAGGGCGGCTCTGGCAGCGGCGGCTCCAGCTCCAGCGGCTCCTCCTCCTTCTCCTTCCTTCTCCTGCTGCCGCTGCGGATCCAGTCTTCCTCCCTCCCTTCCCCCCCTCCCCACGTCGTCGCCGCCGCCGCCGGGTCCGGGGCAACAAGCAGAGGCGCCGCCCGCCGGGAATGTGAGCGAGGAGCCACCGGCGGAGCCGCAACGGGGTCGGTGCCGATTTGATGGGACGGGCCCGCGGGGGAGGATCGTGAGGCCGCCGCCGCCGTCGCCGCTGCCGGAGCGCTGAGGTTCAGGTCCGGCCGTGAGGCCTAGAGGCGCCGCCGCCGCGGAACCGGAGGGACGCCGCGCCGGACAGCCGTCGCCCCGGGCTCCCTGCCGCTGTCCGGACCTCCCCCATCACGTCCCGGTCCCGCCACCCGCCCCCGCTGCGGCCCTCTCGTCGGTCTCCCGCCCCTCGAAACCACAGATCATCTTCGGATTCTTCCCCAGAAGCTTCAAGGTAACTTCGTCCCTCCAGCACCTCGGCTCGTCCGCTTCCCTTCCTCTTCCCCGTCCTGAGGAACCTGCAGGACACCGGTCTCGGGAAGGCTTGGCCGGGGCAGGCGAGGAGTGCGGTGCGGTGGGGTGGGGTGCGGGAGAGGAAGCGCCCGTCCCACTTGTCTGATTTACCTGCAGATGCTTCTGATGATGCCTCCCATTCACTGTACCCTCCTCCCTCCTTTTCCCCTCACCTTCCGGCATTGGAGGCATATTCTTGTCCCCCTTTATTCACTGACGGGGGGCGGGGAAAAACTGGGGGGGGATTGATGTAGTGAGGAGGATTCAGTAACAGCTTATCTTCTCCAGGGCTTGGGGGGTGGGGTGGGAGCAAAGAGAGTATGTCAGCACCCCCACGAGGAAACCCATTCCCTGCCTTTCTCCTCCACGCTAGGGCCCCCCTTCCCTCCCGGATTATCCTGAACCTTGGAAATGCCCTGTGCCCGCTGCTTAGGTGATGATAAAGCTTCGGGCGTCCTGGTCCAGGGAGAAACCTGTTTCCCCGGGCTTTGCACAGCCCCACCGCTACTGCAAGTTCAGTTCTGCAGAGCTTTAGGGTTGAGATCCTTGACGTTTATTCTGGGCTGCGGGGCAGAAGGGCCAGATGATTTAAAAAAAAAAAATGCTAGCAATAAATCATCTTTAGAGATGGGAGGTGAGGAATAAAGAGGAGACAAAAAGAGTGATGGAGGAACAGGATTTACTGAAATCTTACGTTGTTAGAGTGAAATTAAATTTAAATAATTCACATACCAGATTGGAAAAACTGCCCCTAAATTTACAACATACAAATGTGATGTGGAGCTTCTTGCTGATGCAGTCATTGTGAAAAATTTTAAGTAATGTTACTTCTTCTATAGTCATTCATAGTTTGCAATTCCATTTTGAAATCTGTCACATTTTATTTACAGCTAAATTAGATAGGGTTCTAAAAACTTTTTAAAAAAGAGAACCAAACAAGACTTCAAATATTCCAGACCTCAAGATCCTGTGGTTTTATTTGTTTTCTGTTTATGTTTTTGTTATTTTTACTTTGTTGGAATCCGTATAATCCAGATAACTTTTTATTCTTACATGTTCAGGAAGAAACTCCCTTACTCTTTTATTTAGAGTTTAAAAAACATTTGTCTTATGTATTGGAATGACAGGTGAGTAATTACATTTCAGTATTTCCCCCATATGCATTACTTTTATTCAAGTCTGCCATTAACCTTGAATGGAGCCTCAGTGCCATGGAAATAATGGCATCTGTTTAAATTGGAGAATGAAATCGAGTTTACGGCTTGTTACCTTCATTTTAACAATTTGAGAGGGTTAAAATCTCAAAGAACTGTTCAGTTCTATCAGTTTGATGGAATGAAAGTTGGTATTTGATGATGAACTTGAAGGGAACTCAACTTGGTTGTCTAAGTAGGGTGTGAATTTGTGTTTTCATTTCAACTTTGGTGCACAATTTCACGATAATTTTGTTTATTAAGCTTTAATAACTTAAGATGGCTTCATTCAAAAAGAAGACTTCTTTGAAATGCTTTTAATTATGTCCTTTATGTGTTCTGTTTAAAGTAAGCTAACCTGTCCTCATTTGTGGTGTGGTATAGTTTATCATAGCTAACACAGCACATTGCATTAAAAAGTCATGCCTAGATAGTTTCAGTAGTTGTGAATTTCACTTTGCTGTGATATATTGGTGTAGATTCTTGAAGTACATTAAGGATTTTAACTCCAGAGTCCATTCATAATATTAAATATCTTGTGAAAATGTATCGATGGAAGTTTTCCAGTGGCAGAATAGCTCCAAAATTACTTCAGGAATCTCAAGATGAGAAGAGCTTTGCAGTTAGAAAATGAATAGATGGCTTTGAAGAGTTCTTCAAGTGTAAATGAGAATCTTTAATGCTTGTCAGAGCGGGAGCAGCACAATGCATTAGAACTATAATGTGGCTTACATGGTACTTCCGTTACTTCTGTTTTTCACCAAATTTTCATGTTTCCCCGTTGAACATTACAACTTTTCTAAAGTGATTTTATTTGCTTCCTTCATCACGTAATCCCATTTTCATGAATATTGTATATGGGAATTTTAGGGTCTGTGTAATTCACATGTATGCTTCCACTTTGGGAATATGTTTATGATGCCTCTTTTTCTTCAGTAGGGATATGTCCTCAGCACCAACTACTCCTCCATCAGTGGATAAAGTAGACGGATTTTCTCGGAAGTCCGTCAGAAAAGCCAGACAGAAGAGGTCGCAAAGTTCCTCACAGTTTAGGTCCCAAGGCAAGCCTATTGAGTTAACACCTCTGCCGCTGCTAAAAGGTAAGGCTCATGACCAGGTGATGGATTCCTTTCCCGTTGATCTATTTATGTCTATATAGGTAATTTTCTTTTTGTAGAATTTCATATTTGTTAAAGTTATGTGTTGCACATTGAAGGGATGGGAGATTTCAAACATGTTGAAGTTATGGCTTTTAAGGGTTCAATTTAATATAAGTAGCTGTGGACCAATAAAAAGAATCTTATTATCAGGAGGATCTTTTACACTGATAAATAGAAAAACTGAATGCCAGACAAACCTTAAGAGGCCTAGGTTTGTGTTTTCCATTATTTCTTCTGTTGACATTTAGATGTTTAATACATACATCATACATGATAACAGGTACAAATTGTACAGTTTTAGTCACAAGAAGCAGACCTAGTAGAGAAGATGGTACCATTAACTTACATTTAGAAAATTATGTTTTTAAAGAATTCGTTTTTAAAAATCAAGAAAAAAATGGTCAGTTAGTAATTGATTACATGCATTCTTGTTTTCGGATAGTACAAATAGGAAACACGATGACCATACTTGTTTAATACTACTTTTCTCTTTCCTTTGGAATGAATTAAGGACTGGTTTTTACTATGAAACTGCTTTTTCTGAATTGAACTTTTCAGTTTTTCTTTGGGTATATGGATATTTTTTGTTCCTTTTAATTTTCCTACTTGCTTAATGTTTATGAACAGGCATGTTTGAAGTGCATCAGAACATAGCATTTATAGCACGGAAACTGTTAGAATCTACCTGAAGATTTCTTGTTTGCTGAACACTTGAGAGAGTGAGGAGAGAGAGAGAGCATGAACAACACAGTGCACTTTTGTGGCTCAGGGGAAGTCAAAAAACCTGGTCTGCTAGTTTGTTAATGAACATTTACTTCTGTAACAGTTTGTGAAATTAGAAGGTATTATAAGAAAAACTGGAATTTGATTAGAAAAGGCCGTTAAAATGTAGCCTAGGATATTTCAGGCTTCTGTTTTTCCCCATGTGAACTTTGTTTGTTTTTAGAGTTTATTTATTTATTTTGAGAGAAACAGAGAGTGAGTGGGGGAGGGGTAGAGAGAGGGGGAGAATCTCAAGCAGACACTGTGCTGTCAGCACAGACTCCTATGTGGAACTCGAGTTCACGAAACTGTGAGAACATGACCTGAGCAGAGATATCAAGAGTCCAACGCTCAACCAACTAAGCCACCCAGATGCCACCGCCCCTTTTTTTTCTTAAGGAAGGGAAACTCATAACTCAGATTCTGATGTTTGTATTTGAAATTGGTGGAGACTAAATGAATTCTGATGACTATAAAGATGATATATCTACTAGTTAGTAAAAATGAGCTCTTAAGAGTCCGATGGAAGAAATTTGAGCTAAAGGTTTTGCTAAAATGAAAGTCTTTATGAGAAAGAGACTTTAGAAGAACAAGGAAGAATTTTAGGAATAAAACTAATCATGCTAGAAATACAAAGTTGAGAGGTGTATAGATTGTTTAGTAATTTATTTAATCTGAACTAGACATATAATAGCTATTAGCATCTTTATCTGGCAAAGAACTTTTTTTCTGAGGAAGTAGATTAAACTTTTTTAGGTTTAGAAAGAATTTTAAACTTAATTATATTATTTTCTTGAGGCTCATGGTAAACATTTAAATTAGAACTGAATTGACCATTCATTGGTTTTGTGTAGAGGCATGAGTGAGAAGAATTTGCACATTTTAGTATTTTGTTGTTCCTTTTATCTTGGTAAAATATACCGAACAAAAAAATTGGCCATCGTAGCTACTTTTAAGTATGCATTAAGTGTGACAGTAAGTATGTTCACATTGTTGTGCCTCCATCACCACCCCCCTTCTCCAGAACTTTTCATCTTCCCCAACTGAAACTATCCATCAGGGGTGCCTGGGCGCAGTGCTCAGTTGTTTAAGCATCTGACTTCAGCTCAGGTCATGATCTCATGGCTCATGGGTTGTAGCCCTGCTTTGGGCTCTGTGTTGACAGTTCAAAGCCTGGAGCCTGCTTCGGATTCTGTATCTCCCTCACTCTCTACCCCTCCCCCACATGTGGGAGCTCTCTCTCTCTCTCTTAAAAATAAATACAGCATTAAAAAAAAGAAAAAACAAAAAGAAACTGTACCCATTAAACACTTAACTCCCCATTCTCCCCTTCCTTCAGCCCCTTGGTAAGTAACCACCATTCTACTTTCTGTCTTTGTGAATTTGGCTACCCTAGGGAGTTCATAAGTGGAATCCTATAATATTTGTCTTTTTGTGACTGGTTTATTTTACTTAGCATGATGTCCTCAAGATTCATCCATGGTATACCATGTGTTAGAATTTCCTTCCTTTTAATGCTGAATAATATTCCACTGTGTATGTATATACTGTGTATTATTTGTTCATCTGTCAGTGACTGTTGTGAATGTTGCTATGAACATGGGTGGACAAGTGTCTTCTTGAGCCCCTGCTTTCACATGCCCAGAAGTGGAATTGCTGGATCCTATGTTTAATTTTTGGAGGAATTGCCAGACTGTTTTCCACAACAGCTGGACCATTTTACATTCTTCCCATCAATGCACAAGAGTTCCAATTTCTCCACATCCTCACCAACACTTGCTATTTTTTTTTTTTTTTTTGATAATAGCCATCATAATGTGTGTGAAGTGGTAATTCATTGTTGTTTTGATTTGCATTTCCTTTATGACTAATGAATGATGTTGAACGTCTTCTCATGTGCTTATTGGCTATTCCTATATCCTTTTCTCATTTTTACAGTGAAGTATGGTACTATTGAAAAATTTCCAAGAGCTTTGCTCTCCAAGAATAGGATTTTTGTGAACTTGTGTATTTTGCCAGTGTGGGAGAATTGGAGAGTAACAGGACCATACAGTACTAGATCTATCCACAGCTTACTTCCAGACAGACTAAAAATGATTCGTGTGTAGTAAGCATGTAATGGGAAAATATTCTGGCAAGAAAACATTCCACAAATTAGATTTCCATATCTATAGAACAACAAAGAAGTACAGTCACCTGTAGACTTCAGAAATGTTTATTTGCTCCTGGTTTTTATAAAAAATTTGCTAAATGACATTTGATTGTCTTATAATAGATTGAATTTTCTTTGTGTGTTGTCTTCTCACCAACTTTAGGAAGTAATTTATGGAACATAAAGAAAATGTAGGAGGAATTTCTTTATTTTATTTTTTTTTATCATTTCCTTAGGAGAAACCAGCGTAAATTATGTGTACCTGCCAAAGGATAGTTATTGATTTAATTTTCTGTAGTATTGCCCTGACCAAAATGGAAGGTTTGGGATAATTTATTTGGCGGTATAATATAAATGGCAGTTGGATTTCATGGGTTGCATTAGAGAATAAAGTAAAATTCATGTTCTCAAGATCTTTAATTTTAGGGGAGTTTTAAAATGGAAATTGTATAATTTTATAAGTCATCCTTCTAAAATGTAATTTTTGGGGGCGCCTGGGTGGCTAGGGTGGTTAAATGGCCGACTTTTGCTCGGGGCATGATGTCTCGGTCTGTGAGTTCGAGCTCCATGTCGCGCTCTGTGGTAGCTGCTCAGAGCCTGAAGTCTGCTTCCAATTCTGTGTCTCCCTCTCTCTGTGCCCCTTCCTTGCTTGATTTGTCTGTCTCTCTCAAAAATAATAAACATTAAAAAAATTTTTTTAAAGTAAAATAAAATGTAATTTTTGAAAACTCACATATTAGGTGTTCATTAATGATCACTTGTGTGTATGCATTATCAGAATGTTTATTATATGCATCATATTTGACTGACTTATAAGACATTTGACAGCCATTAACTCTTAGCATTTTAATATTTATTTATTTTTTGGGAGTGGGCAAGCAGGAGAGAGGCAGAGAGAGGGGAACAGAGGATCCCAAGCAGGCTCTGCACTGACAGGCTGACAGCAGCAAGCCCGATGTGGGGCTCGAACTCCTGAACTGGGAGGGAGATCATGACCTGAGCCAAAGTTGGGTGCTCAACCAACTGAGCCACCCAGGTGCCCCAACTCTTAGTTTGTTTGTTTTTTTTAATTTTTTTTTAATGTTTTATTTATTTCTAGGAGAGAGAGAGAGAGACAGCGTGAGCAGGGGAGGGTCCGAGAGAGAGGGAGTCACAGACTCTGAAACAGGCTCCAGGCTCTGAGCTGGCAGTCAGCACAGAGCCCGACGCGGGGCTGGAACCCACAAACCGCGAGATCATGACCTAAGCGAAAGTCGGACGCTTAACCGACTAAGCCACCCAGGCACCCCCAAAGTGGTGTTTTTTTAAAAAAAGATCAAATGACAAATCTCATACAGAGATGAAAGTAGTCCCTTTACTTCACCAAATTACAAAACTTGGCTTCTTAGTAGGGCAACTGATTTTTCTATACAATAAAACTTAAGGCACATTTACNAACAGGCTCCAGGCTCTGAGCTGGCAGTCAGCACAGAGCCCGACGCGGGGCTCGAACCCACGAACCACGAGATCATGACCTAAGCGAAAGTCGGACGCTTAACTGACTAAGCCACCCAGGCGCCCCCCAACTCTTAGTTTTTTTAAAAGTCTCTTCACTTGCAGAACTGTAACAGAGTGAAAGGAAAGTTTCATTTATTTTGCCTCTTTTCTGTCAGGTGTGGTTTTCAAATTTATATAAATGATGTTATTTTCTACAGAAAGCGATGCCAGCGCGTTTTTCTATATACATGCATGATAAGCGCCCTGGCTTTTCCTCTAGTATTTATAGTGTAATTGTAGGATAAACCTTTGAAATAGAGACATTTGAATTTTCTCCATCTTTATAGACTTGTGAAAATGTTTGCAGAGAGTCCTAAAGTTTTTGAACTTGAAGGACTCTTACTCAAGGGAAATTTAGTAAAGATTTTAGTGCTTGTGTGTTCGATAAGGTAAAGACTGGGACACTTACCTTGTGCCTACACGGCACGACATGAAGCAAGCTTTGATAGTTATCTATCTCAGTAAGGATGGCTAAACCAAACACTTTGGG